ATATATTACAGTTAGTACAAATGCTCCTTCTTGCTAAACCTGAAATAAAAACCTTATCACTTTAATGATGCTTTTCTTGAAAAAGTAGCCCTCCTCTAGTAATAATTTACGAACAAAAGGCTGAGTAAGTCAGAGGTGACTTATGAGTCTTGGTCCTTGCCATAATAGAGTCTAAAAATGTACTGTGATAACATCTGGATATATTGTACTGTAAGGTGGTTTTTTTTAAAACAAGTGATTCTGCTGGACTATAAATGAGTGGAATAATGAAACCAGGTGGTTTAATCTCCTTCGGTTCAGGGTTTCATGACCCAAAACACGCCAAAGCAGAACGAGCACTGCCTGAAGAACTTTGACCTGACGGAATACCGCCAGGTGCTGAGCCACCTCTCCATCCAGATCTACCAGCAGCTCATTAAGATAGCAGAGGGCATACTCCAACCCATGATCGGTAAGTTCGCAGCACATTAGCTTTTAGGAGGGGAGTTTTATGATTTTTTTTTCCTCATAATTACCTACTCTGAAGTGTTTTTCAGACCTTTGTACGGTGCTTGCACAACTTCTCCGCAGAGAAAAAGCCTGCAGTTGCTAGAGAGGTTTACGTTAGCAGAGGAAAAAGTATTGGTTAGCAGTGTTAGCAGTGACCTGGAGTTAGGGAGGCAGACCTGGATGTGCTTTTGTTTTCCCCTGTTACAGAAGCTAACAGGGATTAAATTTTTTTTTCCCCCATGATGGAAGATATCTCCTTCCTTTCTGTTGGGGAGGGGGTGACAGAAGTGAGACGGTGCTGCTGGGATCTTAGGAACAGCATTTCCCTTCAGCCTGGGTTCATGGTTAAGTTTTTTATGGGTGGAGATGTGCATTGTGTGGGAGGAGAAAAGTGGGAAGAGACGGACAAAGACTTTGTTTTTCAAGGGCAAGTCAGTATGAGAGGAGTTAGCTACTCAGCTAAACCTGGCCTCCCCCGTGCTAAGCTAACTGAGGGGCTGTTCTTGGTGTTTTGTATTTTCTAACTGCTGGTGTTTTCCTTGAGCTCCCAGCCTGGACTCCTCTGTATTTGGGACTGTCTCTTTACCCTCCAAATGTCGTTGCACAAATTCTGGCTGTGCCAGACAGCATCACCTCCTACCATCACTGGATGTACCTCCTGCTCCTTGCAGAAAGTTGTCCTGTTACTGTATCAGTTAGTCAGGCTGTTAGAATTTTATTAATTCTAACCTGTCTTTGTTTCTCTCAGTCCTGTAAGCCAATTGATCACTTAAACTGCAGAATTTAAGGCTCTCTAGTGGTTGTAGAGGGAGAATTGACTACAATTTGGAGAGCTTTTCTCTGTTTCGGTGATTCCTGTGTAGTAACACCAAGGGAGGAAAAAAGTGTGACAGATCATCTACAGATAACGTTTCATATTATAGCAGTAAAGGTGCAATTCATGGATCTGTCCTGCTTTCAGGCCTCCCAGCATCCATTGTGCTGCATCACCGAGACTGCTGCATGTTTATGACTACCCACAGAGGGATCATTTCTTATCTTTAACGACTGAGAGGTGAATGTAAGCTTTTTTGGCTCATTTTTACCCCCTTTTTCAGTGTCTGCAATGTTGGAAAATGAGAGTATCCAGGGACTCTCCGGTGTCAAACCAATGGGCTACAGGAATCGCTCCTCCAGCATGGCAGATGGCGACATGTTCAGCTTAGACGACATCCTTCGCCAGCTGAACACGTTCCACAGCATCATGTGTGACCAGGGTCTGGACCCCGAAATCGTGCAGCAGGTCTTCAAGCAGCTCTTCTACATGATAAATGCAGTCGCTCTCAACAACCTCCTGCTGAGGAAGGATGTCTGCTCCTGGAGCACGGGCATGCAGATAAGGTGGGACACGGGCTTGGGGCAAGGATGTGCTTAAGTGAGTTTTGTTAACTTTATTTAGGGTGATGTGAAATAGGAAGATAAAATGCAGAGGTGTAAGTCAGGGGAGAAGCTGGATTCGGGAGATTGGTGCAGTGGCACTTAATGCCAACCGAGTAATGCCTGTGCAGTGCAGTTTGCTGTGCTGCTTTGTGAATTAAATACACATTAATTATCTCTGTGGTGGGCTTTCCACCCACCAAAGACTACACCAGGTGACACAGGATGGGTTGAACATTGGGATGGAGGAGTCTCTGTGGTTTTTTCCCCTGTGGCCATGCCTGCTGGTTCTAGTGTAACAAGTGTTGTAGCATATAAGGCTCCGATTCTGCAGCTGGATATTAAAGACAAACCCCTGTTGCTGCGTGCGGTGCCTCTGGCCTCTCGTGAGCTGCTGGCAAGCGGCAGCACGGAGGTCTGCTGGGCTGGGATTAGGGCCCGACGTGGCCCATCACTGTCTTGGTGTAGTGTTGTAATAAGGATTGAAATTTGAAAGGACAGGTGGTACAAACCTGCCAGAAAGGGGTTGTGAATATTTATCAGCCCTGGCATAAATCTATCAGCTTACTTCTCGGTGTAAATGATGAAAACCTTCCTTTAGCTACCCTCTCCCCTTCCCACAGTGGATCCTTTGCATATTCCCTTGAGCCTGGGAGTGGGCACAGCAAAGGCATTTTTTGTGCAGATACTTTCAAAGGTACTTAGTTACCTTAAAGGATTTTGTTTGCACTTCAAAGCTTGTTAAAAGCTTAATTTTAATTGCCTTTTGAAACCTGAACTAATCTGAATGCTATAGAAAAAGCACATCCGTTGTGCCGTTCAGCTGTTACATGAGAATAAATTTTGCTTTGAGTTGCTGAGTATTAAGCTTTGGTCTGGTTGTCTCTTGCCACATATATCACAAAAAGCCGTATATGTCACAAAAAGCCACATATACCAGCACTGCAACATTACCTTGTGTCTCATAGAGGATTTCTGAGATGCTACATCTTATCTCTCAGCTCTTACCTTTGTTGCTTACCCAGGTTTAACATAAGCCAGCTGGAGGAATGGCTGCGTGGGAAGAATCTGCAACAGAGTGGAGCAGCACAAACTCTGGAGCCTTTGATTCAGGCAGCACAGCTTCTGCAGCTGAAAAAGAAAACCTCGGAAGACGCCGAGGCCATCTGCTCCTTGTGCACGTCCCTCACCACCCAGCAGGTAGGGAGCAGGGCAGAGGTTTTCATCAGAGAGTGCTCCTAATTAAAGGAGTGGGAAAGGGTGGTCTCCCAGTGCCAGCCCTTCACGGCCCAGGCTCAGCCTGCCATTCTCAGGCTGGCAACCCCTTGCCTTTTTTGGGACTGATGTTAGGTGCTGACCCCTGTCAGAGGTGGTCATCGCAGTGGCTCCTCTCTTAGAGTGCCACTGATGGTGCGGAGGAGGAGTCCGTGCTCTAAGTCAGACACTTGGGATTTTAAACCCAGCTTGTTGTCTTTTACCAGGGTCTAACCGGGATAGGTCTGCAGTGTGTCCACCAAGGATTTGTATTTGGGGCAGGAGGTTTGAGAACTGCCCACCTGGGCTGGCTGGATCTGACCTTAAACTTTGAGACTGTATTCCAGGAGAACATAAACTGTTTTTTTGCTGCTGGGTTGCGTGGCCTTAGTTTGATAATGTCATGGGATGGGAGAAGGAAGAGGTGTGAGATGATGAGATGATCGCTGTGGGTTTTTAGAGATCCTTTCTCCTGTATCGCTGTCTTCCTGTCTTGGACGTGTGTTCCTGAGAGAAGCTGAGGGGTGATAGGGAAGGAGCAGGAGTGAGGGAGCATCAGAAGTGTTGAAGAGGTGACATCAGAAGTACTGGTAAGAGATCACCCATGTCACCATGTGCCCAAGTGAGTGGAGACTTTGTATAAATCTGTTGCTGAAGTCTACTCCCAGTGACAGGCATTGCCATCAGAAGTGACTTCGACAGGTCCATAGAGGTTACCACACCTCAACAGCAGGCAAAGGAGCACCAGGATGATACTTGTTCTACTTCTCTGTCTCAGTAGTGTCGTGGGAGACCTCTTACAGTCGTATCAAGACAAAATGTTAGTGGTGCTTTGTGTTCTGGAAAAGTTTGGCTTCTCATGACTGTCTGTTATCCTATTCTGTTTTCAACAGATTGTAAAGATACTTAATCTCTACACTCCTACGAATGAGTTTGAAGAACGTGTGACAGTAGCTTTCATACGAGATATACAGGTAAATTAAAGGGCTGTAAAGTAGATAGTGATGATTGAATACAGATGTCGTTAGTACTAACTCAGTCATTTTGTGATAGGCATGCTGTTGTGTGTTATCGTGAATTTAGTGTGCACGCTTACTTGCAACATGTTGCTCCAGGGATAACCACGCTGCTAATCACAAAGAGAAATAAGCACCTAAATTCCCTGCTCCACTCATCCAGTCTTCTTCAGTAGCAAGGCGACTCAAAAGTAAGGTTGCAGGAGTCTGCAAGACATCGGTGAAATAAAGTTGCTTCTCAGAGACAAGGAAGAAATTGGCAGCTAAAGGAAAATTAATAAATGAAAACAAAATGTCTTTTAATGCTCACAGAGAGGAGGCAGGAAAAAGAAACAGAAATGTGTCCAGCTACTCCTGGATATGTCTCTATCGCTGAGCAGCTGAATCACACGTGGTCTGCTGGTACCATGCAGTACTGCTTTTGCTCTGCAAGGATGTCATGTTCCTTCCAAGTCCCGTGTCTTGCTTCGTGGTCATGTAGAAAACATAGCCAGGTTCTTCTGAAGCACTGTTTCCTGCAGTCTTTGTAGAAGTTCTGTAAATATTTCATCAGAGAAAGGCTGCTGCAATAGAGAACAAAATAGTTCTCATTGGTTTTTTGCAATATCTCTAAATTCTGTAAACATTCTCAAACTTTTGATGATGTTAAACATGACAAATACAAAGAAAAGGCAATGACTGATACTAAATTTGTTTTCTTCTCCCACACCTACCTCATAGATGCACTTGCAAGAGCGAAATGACCCTCCGCAGCTGCTGTTAGACTTCAAGCACATGTTCCCAGTTTTGTTCCCCTTCAACCCATCCTCCATAACCATGGACTCAATTCATCTCCCTGCTGCTCTCAACTTGGAATTTCTCAATAAAGTCTGAAGAAAGTATGATTAAGCCCAGCTCTCCTACCCAGAGACCTCCAATCGTGAAAGAACAATCGCAGAAGGAATTCAAGGAGCGTTTTAAATACGGACCAAACAGGTTTATAGAAGAAACGGTAGTAAATGAATGCTAAACTGTAAAAAAAACATTAAAAAAGAGACTGATCTGTATGTGATTTTGGGGGTAATTTGCAGCTCAGAAATAAGGATACTTGAAATGTAGCTTTATTTTTTACTGCTTGAATTTATGTTGACATAAAATGGTCAAAGCCCATTATCATCTCCAAAAGCCACTAACAAAAAAGAATGATGAGTGGGAGACAACTTACTTTGATCTCCCTAGGTGTCTATGAAGAAAAGACAGTTAAATCAAAAACATCTGAGACACACTGCCTTGAAGAACGTGTAATTTGTCTAATAGCTAGGTGGGTTGGTACGTATTAATAATGGGACACATGCAATTCTGCCTGTTGTTCGTGCTGTAATATGACAGTGAGTTGGTAAAGAGAATTGCAGAAGGTGCAAGTATGTATTTATCCCACCGGTTAAGGTAACAGGCTGGGACACTGCTTGGAATTTGTCACAAATTATGTATTTGAGAAATGCTATTGTTCCTCCTATCTACATCCACTGCACCTGCTTTATGGGAGTTCAAATAAATTGGCAGTTTGTACTTCATTACATTGCCAAATTTATATTAGTGACTTGCAAAGGTGAAAGTATCTCGAGATAAGGGACTGCCGTAGGGCTCCTGCTTCTAGTGTAGAGGAGCATCATCCTGATCCCTACTGCTGCCTTTCCCTGTGTTTTTAAAAGTCAGAAACCTTCATCCAGTGGCTGTCAAGGTTCTTAGACCTGTTATATGGCCTGTATCAGAATCTCAGGCATAGATAAGACATGCCAAGGCAGACCAGTTTAATCATCGGGTCCCCAGTCTTACATACGTTCAGGTTACTCCTAGCCATAGCGCTCCGTGGAAAAATTCTATTCGGTTCAGTAGCCATCTGAAATATTAAAAGGCGTGCAAATACGGGGATTAAATGAATGAAAAGAAAAAAAAAACAAGCATGTTTTAAAACAAAAGGGGATGGATAAGCAATGAAATGTTCTAAAACAATAAAATTGTAAGATAACGTGTTAGTAATTTAAGCCATTTCTTTAAGACTGAAAATGAACTCCTTGACTACAACAACCTTAAATAACTGCAATAAATTCAAATTCTGTTAGGATTTTTTTTCTTACCTAATTGTATTACAGATTAAAACAACCCAACGTTCTGACCTCAGCAGGCAGACGTTGAAAGGCACCAGCTACATCACAGCCGCAGTCATTGATTTTTCTCGGTACTCACCACAACGCGTGGAATTCTGAGTTGCTGCGAAGCCGCTCTCCTCACCAAGAACAGGAGGCTCTGCAGCGATCCTGATGCGGATCGGTCTGTAACCTGTTCAGAGAGGTGATGTTTCCCTCGTCTCTCAGCATGCCGAAACACAGCCGGGATTTAAAATCCTCGCACTGTGAGCATATTTTGCCCTTCCTGCTTCTGTAACGGTCTGGCCCAACTAAATCTTAACTTTCCTGTTGTGGTGGTTGCGGTTCCTGAAGTCTCAGCAATTCCACCATGGTTAAGTGCTTTCAAAAAATAAAAGCCTCTCTGCATCTGACTGCTTTTAGCTGGTGTGAATCATATCCAAACAGCAAATTTATGTCCAGGTATCCTGTCTGCTCGGAGGACGAAAATAGAATGTTAAGTCTCTTAAAGATACACTAAATCCTGCCGTGCTGCAGTCACCCTTTTAGACGAGGAGTGTGTTTTGATTTAAAGATCATGTATATAATCTATGTATATACAAACTCTAATAGTCCTGTATGTACTATACATGTATATTACTATCCAAAAAGCACATTTTTAAAGAGAAAGTTGAGTGCTGTGAAGAATTGTATTGGTCTGTGCCAGTGGGTAAATACCTTGTTTTCAATGGTTCAGCACACCTACACCAGTGAAGGACAAGCTTAAGGCCATTCTCTAGGGACAAGTTATCTTTTTTTCCCCCCTAACCATCACCGAACTAATCACGGAAGAAAATTTATTGCAGCACTGCCTCCAAACTCCAGTCCTTGAGCGTTTGCATCTGCTGAGGATATTCAGTAGTGCCTTCGTCTCCCCGTCATATGCAATAAAGATAACACCACTGTTTGGCTGTCTCTGTCCCGCAAGCCCATGCTCTCCTGTCCCTTGCTACGATATTTTTATTTATTGTACCTACCTCTTTTCATGTTTTGCAAGTGAATGTTTCTGCAGTGCTCAGAATTCAATTTTTTTTTAAGTTGTATCTTACCCCTTTTTTCTACACTGTAGCAGTTATCACCGTTTAAAAACAAAATAATTCAAAGCAGAATTTAGCCTTTCTGTAAGATGGCTTTAACATTGACCTGAGAAAACCTGCCCATATGTCTCAGAATTAGTTGTAAACCAGTGGTTTTCTCTTCAGCTTTTCAGGTCTCTACCTCTCTCTGATGTAAATTATTGAGAGTACAGATTGATTAAACCAATGCTTATCATTCAGACTAAATGAAAGGTTGCTGTACAATCCTCCTCTGCAACAATTTTGTTGCAGATCACAATTACAAAATGTGCTTAATGGCCTTTTAGGGGATAATGGTCTTTCACTGGCATTTTCAGGATCATAATTTATATGTACAACAAAGAGACTTTCTTCAAAACTCTTGGTACATATTTTTGGGGATTTAATGTCTTGATCTGTGATAATGTAGTTTATCCATTAAAATCCATCTGGAATAGAAGTCTGTTATGAAATGTCTTTAATATATGTTATTTTTTCTGTTAGCAGTTTCTAAATTTTTTTCTGAAATGTTAATTTTGTTAAATTGCTATGCTCAAGCATGCCTTTCCTCAGTTTGGCACTTCTGTATTTACAGAGAAAATTTAACACAAAGCATGGCTTTCAGAAAGCTGTCTGTTTTCCAGTTCTTTTTATTTTTCAATGTTGATTATTAAGTTGAGCATTTTCCCACTATGTGCCTTTAGCTGTTACTAAGGTAACTGACTTCTAAACTGCTCTTTCTCTGAAACAAGCATTAAAATGTGGGAATATTTCTATTGTTCCGTCATAAAAAGTTGTCTGTGGATTTTTAAGTCTGCTTATAAAAAAACTCACTCTGAGGTTGTTGTTAAAAACATTTTGAAGATCTTGGGGAAAAAACCAAAACAACACTGATCCACACTGGTTCTCGCATGTGTAATGTATCTCAGAAAAGCACTATTGGGAATCGGACAGAAAACCAACTCACTAAAAAAAATACTCTACCCCCCCGCCAAACAAATCACAAAAACCATCACCACTGTGAAAACAACGCTTCGAAGGAGAGTTCAAGCATGCACTGTCTGACCTACAGAAAGCATCCAGGACACTGTACATGCTTAATTTTCACCAAAATGTTGCTTCGAATTTTCTTTTTTTCTTTTATTGGCATTTTGCAGCTGGGGCTCTGTAGCTTTTGGCTGGCAAAGCTGTTGGTCTTTTCCACAATCAACTGCTATATTAGACCTCAGGGCTGAGTTTACACAGTCCTACATCACAAACATTTTTTTCCTCATGCAGTTTAGTCCACTGTGTCTAAAAGGACTTATTTGTATGAGTGAAACCATAACAAAGTGTGGGCATGATGCAGAGTTTAAGCGTAGTGGATTCCTTTCCGGATACTGCAACTTAAAACACTTGAAATCACAACACAGCCTAGAGTCTTTGCCATACAGCACCCTCTATGTGATTTGCAAAAGACAGAAGCGAAAAAGATGCACTTGAAACAGCAGGTTATTCTTCTCCGTTTTTCAGTAGTGTGTGAAACGATGCAAACTCATTCTTTCAGACCGTATTTAACTGAAAAAAATATTTTATCATTGCATATAAATATGATAACCTAATTAAAATGAATTGCATGAACTGCCTTGAACTTTTTCCTTAATTCACATATATATTAGTCATAAATTTACTCTTTTTTCCCAAAAGTTCTAGCAATGTAGATGCTGAGGAAGAGAATCCAGAGGACGTATTCCCCAATGAATACACAAATTATTTCAAAATGTAGCTGCCGGTGGACAAAGACTTTCAAATTAAGTTGAAATTAGAACAAAGCAAGCTATCCAAAAATGTGCAATGTCTATTTTGTTTGTTTGGGGGCGTTTGGGGGGTTTGTGAAGTTTCATTACCTTAACGAGAGAAGTTACAGCTGCTCTCAAAGAAGTTGAATGATACACCGGAGTGAATACTGTAGATAAAATACTACTGCTTATAAAATATTTTTCCATTTTGAACAAATCTGTAAACTACACCTTTGTTTATAGAAAATCTAACAATCACTGTAACATTCAGCTGCGGATAAATTTGTGAAATAAAACACTTTTGAAGAACTCGTGACTTTTGATCAAAAATGGGAACGTAAAAAACACACCTTTCAACGTTTGCTTCTATAGATGGTAAACTTTGAGAGGTTTAGAAGTTATAATTTCGGAAGCGTTGAAATATTGGGAGCTAATTAGGAACTAATTGAAGGCTGTTGCAGAGGAAGGGAGGAGATGCAGTGCCAGCCCTGTGCGTGTGCTTCAACGAGAAAAGTCGATGGCAGGGAGAGAAAATCATAGTAAAAACCTTGAAGCCAGAGTTGCCTGTGGCTGTACATTGACTGATCTCTATTTTGAATTGCGTATGGAAATGTGGTGTTTGGTTTGTTTTTTTTTTCTAATCAAGAATGGGATCGCTCACATGAAACATTGTCCTTATAGGAAATTTATAAAGCTTAAATTGCCTCAGTGAAGGCATAAATAAATGAATAAAACATTTTGAATAGGAGGCCGTGCCTCTCCCGCATTTGCCACGGCAGCGTCGCGGGGCTCCCGGTCGCCGATTCGCCAAAAGCCCCCGCGCCGCTTTTTACATGGGAAGGGAGAGCATACGAGACGGCGAGGAACAACAAATC